GAATCTGGTGTGTGATATTCCTTAGTAGTTGTTGCTCGTTCGGATAGTAACATAGCGCCTTCTACTCCGATAATGTGTCCAAAAAGCTGAAGAGACCTGTTCTCAAATTCCCATTTGTGTGAACTGATTGTGATACCATATTCACTCAGCCATCGAAAAAGCGTAGAAGATGTTAGAGATGTTTGTTCTCTGGGTAGCTTGCTACCTGTAAGTCATCGATATAGGCACTGGCAAAAGGTAAGCCATAATGAACTTAGTCTAAAGGCCTTCAAGAGGTCTGCTCTATATTCATCGGACCGGAGGGCACCCGAATGAAGTCAACTCATCAAAAGACTGTAGTGCCGGCTGTTTTTCTGATGTCGCAGGGTTCCATAGGTACACGACGGTGTGCTCATGCAACATCAGACTTTGCTATACGTGTCAAACATGGAATCAATAAAATCCTGAATTGGCGGGATAGGGTAGTTATCTGCAACCGTCTGTTTTTTCGTTACTTTGTAGTTGCTACACGGTCACATTTCTCCTGATTTCTGAGGAACTGTGTGCGGTGATGATACCCGCAGGCTGCTCGACGGCCATATAACCCCCAGCCACAAACGTTTATTGAATTCAAAAACAAGATATTTAGCGAAAAGGACTTCTCAGTGAATTTATTCTCCAGCTGTACATTCGTATATACATGATATTTAAAGACTGCAGTCCGTGAGGAAGATTTAACTGAAATAATGGTGAGTTGAAACAATAATAACTACGGTAGTGATAATTATAATGTTGATAGTTGATGGCGTAAAGGTCGGATGGTAACAAAAGGGGGTTACGTAACTTTCAAATAGTCTGTAAAGTGCATATAGGTTAAAAGGGGTGCGAACACCAGTAAACAATCAAAGGATTAGGTAACATAAATGAGACAAGTTAATTGGAGTAAATTGAAAATGTTTTGTTAATCAGTTCTTTAGGAACTTTTAGGTGGCAAATTACAACCGCTGTCGATTTTTTCCAAACGGTCAGGTCTCGAATAGGTGGGACATGGTAATTTCGGAAAAGGATTATGATAGCTTCTCTGGCTGAAACCTACTGCCAACTTGTTTCAGTAGAAACGCTATCTGTCATCTGTACTGATCACAAGCCCGTGATGACTTTCGTGACAGCGGAACCTGTTAATTTTTCCGGAAGTCTGTTTCGGCATCCACAATTCGCTTCCTGTACTCCCAGGTGACGTATGGTCCGTTCTTTGGATTTTTAACCACGCTAATGATGCCTTTTCACGTGTGAACTTGCACAGTATTGTAAATGCAAACATCAGTTTTGTCGGAATGGTGAAACTTCAGCAAGCGTATAAGGAAGAAGTGAATTAATATATTCGAAGCCTGCATTACCCGAACTCAATTCAATTCTCACAAGCGATTACCTTTTAATATGTGACGGTTCTCGTGGTGTTTTGCACCAATCTAATCCCAGCCTATGTTCCCCACCGTCTTCAAGAAACAGCTTAGCATGTCACACAACGGTGCACAAACAGTTGTCCAACCGGTCTCCAGCAGGTTTGTATAGAGGAAAGTGAACCGAAGCATAACACATTGGTCGAAACTTGCCCACACCCCGAAAAGGTGAAGGTTCAGAGGTTCACGCTTGCTGCATCGGATAGTTTTCAAATATCTGACGTCAGATTTAATCATGCACGTGTTGATTTGATTGTGACACTACCCCCTTCAGAAAAATATGCATGTATCTTAACGTGCATCAGTTACGTTGATCTTTGCTCCCCATAACAATGTAATTGGTAGGTCACTTTCTGTACCAGAACTTGAATATTAACCTGGAAACTCAATGTCAGATTCATACTCTTGCAAAGGATCTTTCTGGTAAGGTTGAAACGCAGAGGATTAATACAAAATATTTGTTGATTTTGTTATTTGTCCTAATATGCTACGCCGGGATTACACAATTAAAGTATAGCTTATACGACGAATCATACTAACTTGGTACCCAAGTTTTTCAAACCATCCAGTCCGTTGTTGGTCAGAATACTCTCATTAGTGGTGGTGATAGCATTGCTGTAACCAGAAGCCAAGACAGAGAGAATGACCGTATTTTTGAGCCCACTGTACCTGAATTGAAGATCAGGTCCGTTTCTGGTGATGATAACCCGTACTCATTTGTGTCACAGTCTGGGGTTACGTACAGCGTATCCTGGCACGTAATCTTGAAGTTTGCCCAGACAACACGTAAAAATATGTATCAGCGCCTGGATTTGCCATGCTTGTAGCCCGAAAGCAAATTTAACGATGCTGAGTACTCACGTGTATAATTACCACTCTCCATAACGTGGTGATGATAGCAATATTGTTTATTCCTGAATGTGCAGGCACATATTATGAACACAGGCATGAATATATTTCCATGTAAATTACACGGGTCCTCATGGGAAATAGTATCAACCCTCAACCATTGACCAATAGAGGCCATGTGTTGCACGGCAGTAAAATGAAATATCTCGTCGGGGGAAGTATTTCAGTTTATTGATTCTCTAAACTGTTTTAGCAGACCACACATCATACAACCAATCCCCCAGTCATTATTCGTTTTGACTATCAAGCAATCAACTTTACTTTCGAGAATGGAAATGGCTGGCAGATGACGTGGAACCCAAATATCCGCCACCCATCGGTGGGATTTGATTAGCACTCCCTGCCCAGCCACAGCCACTCACAACCCTAGCATACTGGCCTTCCACTTTGACTCGCTGAAGCCACTCAAAAGGGTTTGACTGCCACGATATCAAGCAAAATGCGAATCCGCTGCCTTAAAATTTGACTTGGATTACTTACACAAGACCCCCGGCAGCAACTGCCCAGAGTCCTTAATTCTGTAGTCGTAACAAAAAAACAATAATATGGACCCACACAAATGTGTTTAACCATTGCAACAACGCACATGAAATTTCGGGAAACGAAGCCAAGACACTATTGCAAAGTTTGAAAGATGACTTTAGGAACGCGACGGCGGTTCTACAAAATTTTCAGATGTATGCTTCTGGTAGATGCGTATCTTGCCGTTAGTGAATGGGAGTGTCGGAGGGCCCTTAATTAAGTCATAGTAGCAGAGGAGGTTCTGCACCACTCACCCTACCAAGTTATATCCAAGGCAGTGTTACATATGGTCTTTAGTGAGCCAGCAGATTTCTACAGTGAAGCTTCTTTGTTACAGAGAAAATGAAATCAGCATTTGATTGAGCTAGGCTCAAATATAAACCTTTGGGGAACACTAAAACATTGGGCTTCAGCATATTGAGACGGACATGAGACAGGGTATTTACTCTCTACGGGCAACTAAAAAGGTAGAGGTTGTCGATGAAATCTTTCAAACACAAATGCTGTCCACTTGATTTGACAGCTTAAGCTCCAGACTATTATCAGCTCTTGCCTTTTTATTTATGTTTTAGCTACATGCCCAAATTCTTAGAAACAGGAACTAGTGTTTCATTGACTCCATTTGCATAAACCAGTCGGGCGCAAACTTCATTTATTCTGTTAACAACGATTCGAAACCATTTAATATGCAGCTTCCCTTCATATCCTTAAAAGTAGGCGCCATCATGATTGGTAGTCTTGATATTTACAGACCTCGAATTAATGAAATCACTGACAAGGTCAAGGTTTACAGCGTGTCCAAACGACAGAGAATTCTGTGCTGAGGAGCAGAGAATTCGAACAGCCCGGACGAGTACTAATACAAGGGCCTCTCCTATTTTCGCTGCCAATCAATGGCCTTTCCGCTAAAATTTCCTCGCCTATCCTCCTTTTTCCAGACGGCATCAAAAATAGCGGACATAAATAAGGAAGGGGCTCCCAGGATACTCCAAGACAATCTATTGCAGCTCGAGCCCTGATCAGCTGTGAATGGTCTGAGCTGCAGCCTGGAGAAGTGCAAGGTAATGTATCTTCACCCACCAGGAGCGATAACAGCCGGCTACACCCCAAACAGTGTGTGCAATCTTCAGAGCATTCACAGAGAAAGACCCGGGACTAAACTTCCCTGATACTCTTGATAGTGGGGCACTTATGAAGAGATGGCAGCAAAGGCGAACGCCATTATGCACCTTCGGAGAAGGCAGCTTGGGGTGCTAGCCATAGAATTGCTCTTCATGTTATTTCAAGCCTATGCCAGACCGCACCTACGGGCACTCAAAACGATAGCCGCCTCTTCTAACAAAGAGAGAAGTGAACACTCTAGGAGGTACAAAGAACGGCGACAAAGTCGGCTAAAGAAGTGACAGACAAAACGAATGGACAGCACTTTATACAGCTCAACTCATTCACATTAAGCTGTAGAAGGGAAAGACGTGACCTAATAACAGCCAACAGGATAATCCACCAAGTGGACCACCAAAATGGGTAACATTATCAACCTGAAACCGATTGTCTCACAGGATTCCCACTAGCATATCCAACTACAAAGCAAAGACGAGAATGAGATCGAAATTCCCAAAGCGTTTGCCTTTTGGAACGCTCCGCGGAAGAAAACAGCCACACCTACATTAGCTGACCCCTTCAAGCGAATGCTGCGTCAGTAAGCGCGAGCGACTTGTAGTGAGCATTCGTCGGTAGCAACTGGGGGTACATTCACCAACCCCTGCGCTCCCCAGCCCTAGAATCTAAAGTAAGACCCACACATCCTCTATGTTATTGCCAGCAACACTTATTTTTCGATAAGTACCTACTAGCCCCTTTTTCTCACTCCCACATAGCCTTATTTCTAGCACTTTTTGAGCAGCACTCAGCGTTCCCTTGCAAGCGTTTACAAAAACAGGAGCTACAAAAGGTTTATTGATCTTTTCAGCAGCCTCCTTTTCTCCTCAACCAAAACAAGCTACAATTTGCAAGGAAAAATAGCTCTCAATAGACGATCTCTACCTTCAAATCTATAAGCAAGAAAAATGTAAAGACTTTTGTGACCACCCAAGGGAAATAAGAGGCTCAAGATCTACAAGTGAGGGCTGAGGAACCTCAATTTATATGTACTCGAACTATTGAGGTTGGGTGTTGGAAGGTTGTTAAAATTACTCTTTCTCGATAACCAATGTGAACGACCTTGTGCGTTTTTGGCGTCTACTTCTTTTATCGGGATAATTACTGTCTGTAGAACACCGTAGTTTCTCATTGGCTACATTTACATTCAGTCTCCGTCTATCATGAATTCACGAGTTTCGTCCGAAGCGTATTTCGTTCAGCATCAGAAACAGCAACATGTTGCTCGCACTAACACATGGATGGAACATATTAGCTCTTTAGACATAGATCACACCCCGTCTTTTGTGAGACAAACTACCTTGGTTTGTACTTTCGGTGAGTTTTTTCGTTGAGGTGGTTATTTTTTAGGTGATCACTGGGATACGGATGAGAAAATCGACCAAATGATCAAAAGTGGCATGAACATCCTGCGTCTGAACATGAGTATGGGCTCCAAAGAAAAGTATGCGGAAGTGATTCGCCGTGTTCGCCTTTTGGAGAAGAGCTATGGTCACAACCCATCTGTTGGAATAGCGTTAGACCTGTCAGCTCCACCTGTGCGTACTGGGCTTATAAATAGGGTACGCTGGTATTTTCTCATTGACCTTGTAGAGTGTTGATGCCTTTGTTGTACTGCAAACAGGTCAGATGGTCCAGCTTACAATTGCTGATGAGTTTGAAAACAAAACTTCAAGTTCTTTGATTTGGATAAACTCAAGATATTTTCCGACAATTCTTCAGTGTGTCGCAGCTGGTGATCGAATTTTCATTGACGAAGGAATGGTATCTCTGATCGTCCGAGATGTCAGAACAGATAGCATAAATTGTCTGGTCGAACAAGGAGGTATCTTAGTAGATTGCTTATTTTTTTTGTAGGTGAGGTTGGAAGTTATAAACGTGTTCAGCTACCATGTGAAAGGATGTATCAAACAACTTTTAATAATGTTTACAAAAGTAACTTGGAGTTTGCGGTCCAGTGTCAGGTTGTGCTATATAATAATTGATAATTCCCTGGTCAGGTAGACTTTGTCTTTACCGGTTACACCTCAAATGCGAGTCAGGTGGCACAAGCTAAGAATGTTTTGGGGAATGAAATCCTTCTGTTTGCTAAAATAGAAACTAAGGAGTCAATTAAAAAGTAAACCTCCTTCATATTTTCCGTTACTGATTCATTTTTGTGTCCATCTTTCATTATGGCAACATCTTAGTGCCTTAGCGCGGTAAACTTAGTGTTGTTACAAAACTACTGTTATCTACTTCACTTTTAGATGGTTTCTGAAGCATTTACGATAGTGGTTTGTATTGGGACAATTTTTAATTTGGAAATGGTCAGCACAAAATTAACATTTCAAGTCACATTATTATGTTTGTGCTATGGACTTACGCATAATTTCACAAAGATTGCAATGAGTTCTGGAACTTCACACTACGAGTCGTGAAATAAGTTATCGCAGACTACTTTAAATACCCTTTCGGATCCTATTTTCCGGTGTTTGTATGTTAACAGGCGGATATTACTGTTCTCCAAACAGGTAGCCAAATTTATGTGCATCCACTTGAAAATGAAGTTCATTTCGAACAAACTTGGTAACGAAGTATACGTTCGTACCTACGTAGTTAACCGCATATGTGAAGTGCCAAGGGTACTCTCTTATTTTTCGAACCTCATTAGGTGCATCAACATTTGAATGCTTTATCTAGCGATCAGGAACCTAATGCGTTTTGCAGTGGTCAATTAAGACTTTGAAATATATGTAATCTAGTCCTCTACTTTAATTGTTTGATATCTATGACGTACTTACTACTCTTCCGTACGTTATCAAAGAAAACCCATCATCTTTTACTTTTTTATATGTTACGTTTAAATAGCCTTTTGTCACTTATGGTCCTGCTATCAATAGCACATTTAAAATGGTCTGGTAGTTACTGAAATTAACAACTGAAATAAAGTGAGTCATCAAAACGAAGTTTGCATGTTGAATAGCTATATATATAAAGTCACTTTGCTGTGGCCACTCATCTCACTCAGGGTGATTAAAGCTGTCAAGCTCTTCAGTCTGTTTACGCTCTGGCTAAAAACTTTATTCGACACTTGTTTGTTTGTAAAACCGCATTTCAAACTTTAAAATAGAGGGTACATAATAAAAAGCAAGTTGATGATTACGAATTCAACTCTTTTAAAGTTAATTAAACACAGTACACAAGTGTTAGTCAATTATCAAGGGTCATAGTATTACTGCACAACTATCCAAGTCACCAAAACTTAGATCAACACATCCACATACACTGAAAGAAAAAATATCATGAATTGGAAACAATGAAATTAAACGCGTGCTGACCCATAAGATAAAAAAGAAAATAAGGCCAATAACAAACTGTGTTGCAAGGGCGAGGTAGAGATGGTGTGAATGCAACTGGACTAATAAGATCGAGCCATGTCATCCGGAGTTTTCATCTATCTATTTTGGTTGCTTCGTGAGTCACAATCTTTAAGTCTGCACTCTGGTACAGAAAAACTACAAGTTATTGTGACTTTCTAGCCTGGTCACCATTTTGTGCCCAGCTTAATCCTACTCAGAGCATAATGAGGAGCAAATGCAACTCAAATGTAGGCTTATCAAAGCTCTATGCACTGACTGCAAACAGTTGTGGGCAGCGAAGACTAAAGAGATGGAAAAGGCAACGGAGATAGTTAACAGTAGACAGTTATTTTGATTGGTCGAGGAAGCAGATGACTAAAGCGAAGAAGGATGTGTCTTTGACTCGCTTACAAGAGAGATGGGTGGAACACTTCGCGCAACAGTTCAGCTGGCATCAGCTACTCTTGTTTCCCACCATCCAGTCGGATCCTGAACCGAACATCGAAATAGGACCGCCGCTCATTGATAGAAACTGCAAGCTGTAAGTACCCCGAAACGAAAGAAAGCAGCCGAGCCAGATGAACTATTATCAGTGGTATTTAAAGACGGTGGCAGAGGATTACTACTCAAATAACTAAAGTGTTAACTAGTGTATGGGAGTCAGGTACGATCCTCTCTGATTGATCTCAATCACTGATTATCCGGGTCTTCAAGAAATGAGAGAAGTCACATTGTGAAAGTCACAGTGATCAACCTAATAGGCACAGTCTCTAAGACTCTAGGATCTGTAATCACTAGACGTTTGAGTGGAGCTCGGCGATAGAAAACTCAAGAAAACCAGACAGACTTCAGGCCTGACGGTGAGTATCTCGACCAGATATTTACCCTTCACTGATTTTCAAAACAGCTGTATTTCCTGACCTGTAAGTGGCATTCGACCGTCGATCGGCTGGTCTTATAGCGGTGTCTCACTGAAACGTATACCAAGTAAGTACATCACTGTATTGAAGGCTCTTTACTCGAACATACGTAGGCGCGTTGCAGCCTATGATTGGTTGTCTGACGAACTGTGTAAGTCGGATGTTGTCCATCCAGGATGTTCATTATCTATATTCTTATTCGGTTTCATCGTAGACATGTTTATGAAGGTCTCTTTCTCTCGTTATCTAGCTTCATCGGGATTTTTTCTATAACAGAAGTACTTTTGGTAGATTTAGAGTACGCAGATGACATAGTCCTGTTAGGTTTATATGCTGACAAGATGCAGAGTTTTCTGGACGCTTTGAGTGGCTGTTTGGGAATGTTTGGAATGCGTTTGACATCACCCAGAACTACTACCGGGAACTGCAGAAGTACCGGTGAACACTAGCCCTCTGACAAAAGTAGAAGTCCTGAAAGCCATAAAGTTGCTGAAATTAGGGAAAGTAGCAGGGCCAGATGGAATTCCTACAGGAGCACTGAAAACAGACACAGACAGTGGCGGACATCATCACACTGCTACTGCAGAAGGTTTGCAAGGAAAGAAGGAAAGGTGCCTACCCACTGATCAGAAGAAGGGCGATCTAAGTCTTTGCAAGAACTGGCGCGGAATCATGCTTCTGTTCACCCCAAGCAAAATATTAGGCCACATCATCCTGGAGAGGTTGAAAGGTGCTCTGGATTCAAACTGATTACTACGGGAACCGGCCGGCTGGCTTCAGGAAGAACAAATCACAAGCGGATCAGATTACAACGCCACAATACGCATCATCATCATAGTACACAGCATAGAATGACAGTCAACTGGATCTCTACCTCAACTTCATCGATTTGGAAAAGGCCTTCGACAGAGTTGACCGACAAGTAATTTGGCAGCTGCTACAACGCTACGGAGTACCATAAACCTCTATCAACTTCCTTCAACAGCTATATGAAGACGCCACATGTCAAGTGGATTCACAATGGAAAGCTCAGTGATGCCTTTGAAGTAAAGACAGGAGTAAAACAGGGTTTCCGCCTACTATCACCGATGATCTTGCTGATTGTGGTCGACTGGAATGGGCTGGATCATGCTACAGACAACTGCGAGGAGTGAGAAGATGGGCATACGCTGGACCGATGAAACAACCCTTGAAGATTTGGATTTCGCCGCTGATGATGATTCATGTCTAATGTCATGTCTCACAAACTCGAAGATTCACGGACAGAAACCAACAAGGTGGCGGAAGAGGCAGCGAAGACGGGACTTCAAGTGAATGTAGAGAAGACAGAGGTGATGAAGATACCCAGCCAACAATAAGCACCAATCACCATGAATGGGAGAAAGCCGAATTAAGTAGTCTCTTTCACCTACCTAGGCAAGGCACCATAGTTTCAACTACAGGCGGTGGCACAGATGAGGACATCAAAGTCAGGATCGGAAAGGAAAGATAGGCTTTCATTAACTTGAAACCAGTGTGGAGGTCTACCTCACTGCACTGCACTCAGCAAAAAGAACAAGATCCGGATGTTAACACTGTCAGTCAACTCAGTGTTTCTACATACTTCAGAAAGTTGGCACGTTACGGAAAGTATTTTCAACAAACTGCAGACATTCACCAACAGTTGCCTACGCTTGACACTGAAGATCAGATGGCCAGAAAGAAGCAACAAGGAACTCTGACCTGGGAACGAACTAACCAAGAACCCATCGCCCAAAAATATGCAGAAGAAAGTGGAGGTGGATTGGGGATACACTGAAAATACCGATTGGGGACGTAACCCGCCAAGCGCTCGAGCGAAATCCAAGTGGGAAACGACGAGTTCGGGGTTCGAGGGTGACATGGAGATCGTGCGAGGAAGAAATGAAAGCTTCTGGGCCGTCGCGGAGCCAGGTTGATAAGACTGCAGAGAAGACAGTGCAGTAGAGGAGTGCTACTGAATCCTTGTGTTCCACCAGGAACCCATAGGACCAATAATAATAATTCTCCATTGCGCAGTGTTAACTGAAGCACGTTTAGGCTGGAAACTATTAGGGTTGACCAGACTAAAATATGGCATCTATGGATGAAATCCTTGACTTTTGGTCTGAACCGTATAGGGAGATGTAGAATTTCCGGTTGGAGTCTGCTTGACAACAGAAGTAAGTGGTTGAAGACAAGGTGAATTGAGTCAGAATTGATCTCAGTGGCACAAGTGTGACCACGCATTATCTCCATTTTTGTCGTATTACTGAATTCAGTAGTTTCTTATTACTGCTTGTATTCTTATTATGACTTTCTTTCACTTTGTTTTTTTGCTTCTGTTTTCGTACCTTTTATTCTAGTGCTTTCTCACCTGAAGTGCGGCAATTTGTACCATTATGCAGTAATGCCTGATCCTATATTGATACTGCCTGTCTATTTAGTCCTACTTGAGATAGTTTAGCACTTTGGAGTAAAAAATGACTAAGAATGTGTTGCTTACTCCAGTCACCTTAGTGGATGAAGGTTTACTACCTCATCAATTACTGCAACTCTTTCACCTCAGAATCTATGCGTATCATTTCCGTTACTGGCATATTAGTTTCGCAACACGACATCAATGCTTGGAAGACTACGGTGGTCAAACACTCGAAGTTTTCGCATGTCTTTCATCTTTAGAAGTCATTATACACAATCGTGTAGTTAAATAGACTGAACTACCGCGATGCGTACTCAACTCTTAGCAAGAAATCAGATATCTAATGAGCTCCATGAAGGGCGTAAATCGCCAAAAGTCAATGACTCCTAACCGGTTTATGGAACAATTATTCCATAACAATGGACGTTGATAATTACATCTCATTACCAGCTAGTGCCGATCAGTGATGTATTTGGTGGTGTAATTTGGAAAGATACACAAAATCGAGCTTATATATGGATTCTTGGAAGTACTGGGGTAGTTTTCCTCTCCACAAGGATGACCAACTATTGGTTGCACCTTTTGCGATATATGTTTGTGTTTAATGGTAATTAAAGTGAATGTGGTCTGTAAACACCATCAAAAATCAAAGTCCAATGCTAATCATCTCTCAGGAATGGATCACTGGTATAAGTAATTTGAGCTTTGTAAGAAGTATGACATTAACATACTTAGAAAGCTGTTACTAGAAAAAATAGTACTGGTCAATACTATATAAATGACTCCTTCACAAGCAATGTTAGGTGTACAGGTTTTGAATCGTTAGTACTGATTATTACTCTCCGGTTATTGGGAATGATGTTTCCTATATGCGAGTTATGAGTACTTCACTTGAAGTCCTGGTCACAAATTGTGGTGTTCTTAGCACGTAAAAAAGGAGGTACACCGAAGAAACCTTATAATTCCTAGCGTTAGGCTTCAGGGTCATTCATAGCCTAGTCAAACTCCTACACACTTTTCTGTCCATCAAGGCTAAAAGTATTTTGCCAATCACCCCTCTCATGTATTCGCATCTGCCAAATATAAGGTTTTCAATCTTCAGAAAAAAAATTTGAACTGAACCCGCCTACTTTTGACTGGGCAGATAGAAAGCGTCATTCAGCTCGATGTAATATGTAGCTTATATTTAATTGCATAAACGTTGATGCGATTACTGACATACATCTATTTTGAATCTGACTCATTCTATGATTCTTAGAGTTGTCACCGTGTTAACAGGAATGACAACTATACTGTTTTTCTGGGAAAATTCTCTTCCCTTTAGATGATGATGTAATGAACTAATAAGTATGATTTCATCGTTAACGAACTCATCGAACATTTCCTTATTGTTTTCAGCTTGGGGGATATAATTGCACACTCTGATGGCATCATCATTGGACGTGGTTCTCTCAGCTTATGTTATCCAAATGAAAAAGTTTTCCATATACAAAAACAAATAATTGCTATGTGTAATATACTGCACAAACCCGTGTTCGTTATAACTCACTTACTTGAATCAATGAGGTTTAAACCTCGTGCAACTCGAGCAGAAATAAGTGATATTGCTAATGCTGTTCTCGATGGTGCTGATGGTCTTATACTAACTGTAGAAACTTCTAAAGGACTCTTCCCAAAAGAATCTTTAACAGTTTTACACAAAGTATGTCAATTTTCATTTTCAAGGTTGCTATTTTTCGAACTTTTAAAATGTGCCTACTGTGCAAAATACTTATGTGTATATTTCTAGACCTTACTTGGATTGAAATTCTGTTGGAATGGACAAATTCGAAATGCAATCATTTGCACAACATATGTTCGAAAACGGTTTACAAGACAAGGGCTGTCTCGAATATCATGTTGTCCCCGTGATAACTAGCGAAATAGATGCTGATTGCTTGTGCTTATGATTGTCCCTAAGAGGAATGAAAGGTTGCTCATCAAACCTGTTTGCTTTCATTTTAGGTTATTCTTGTGATCAAAAGATTATAGCCTTGTGTATTTTTATATTTCGCTTTTCCTTTGTAAGAACTAGTAGTAAGCTAGTAGCACTTTAACAAAGTAACAACTTCAAACCTAGAAAATTCTAGTTGGACTCACATACACAGACCATTCAGTCACAGCTCCACAAACATACCATATATTAAAAAGATACGTTTTTACTCTCTGAGGTAGGACTGTGTCGAAACCTATAAGACTACATAATTTAATATCGAATTCCTAGATCTACTCAAGGTGAGTAGAAGATTGATAAAAATGACTTAGTAGGGTTAAGTGGATAACGACATTGGTTTTTGTTCATATCTTAGAAGTACAGAATATGTAGAACTCAGTGAACTAAAATTTTCACTGTCCGACTAGAAATTCAGTAAAAGTATTGAAGCCCAACCGTATCATAAATATTAGATTCTATTTTTGTACGGCTGGATCTGAACTTCAGAAACCCTTTTGTAAGAGAGGTGCAAGTGTTACTTTCAAGGTTGATCTTTTCTGACAGTGGGAAAGCAACATTACTGTGTAGCCTCAGCAAGCAGGCCCAGCCAATGTATATGATTAACATTTGCAGTCAGAAATATAGATTTTCTTGCTAAATCTTTTTCCACCCCTAACGGTAGTTCATTCAGCTAATATCTATCGACTGGTTCTGTTATCCAGTCTGTTACATGTTATACTTACCAGTTCAACCAGATCTATGCGTATATACTAGGCTCGTCTGAAGTCTTTTCACATTACCAGTTTACTGAGGTCGAAGTAAATGGAATGTCGTTTGTAACCCGGATTCATTACTTAAAAGTTGGAGGTCTATGCTAATGAACCATATCTCCGAATTGTTATCGAAGACGAATTCACTTTTTATGATGGCTGTCAAAATCGTAATGACTTTGTTAGAGTGTGTTTGGTATCCTCCAATGTAGGTTATCGATGGCATGTCTACTGTCATTGATAAATTAGTTGTGTCGTTTGGTTGTGCACATAGATGAAATATTATTACACTATTCCGAGTGCATCAAATTGCTGTCTGTTTGCTCTCCCTTGTTCCAGGAACAGTCCTTGCAACTGATGGGCGGATCGGAGGCTAAGTGTAGGGTATCAACTCAGGTTATTTGCTGTTGATCAATGAAATGAACCAGCTGTGTTTGTGTTATGCTATATCTTTTAGTCGTTGATAATTGTTCTATAATTGAGAGGAAATCGACAACGTTCTAGGTGAAGCGAATCAACCACGCAGTCAGTAATTTGAATCATTTATGAAGTGAACGATTTTGCTGATACTTATCTTTTTTCGTTCTTATCTACCAATAGTTAGTTCCTTGTAATTAAATGTATTCCTACCCGCTTATGTCTCGTCATGCATTAGTTCTTTATATCATTTAAAAGTGTGTTTCAAAGGGTTACAAAAATAAACCGATTCGTCGTTGGGCAGATTGCATTCAACAAAGATGAATTCTATTGACAGACAAATCAGATATTGCTTTTCTTCACGTTGTTATCTTTTTTTATCTAATCTTAAGGGGGTAAAAGAGAAGTATTTACCACCATAAAGTAGAAACTGAAAATATTTCTTCGTAAAATTCTTCATTCCTACTGATCAAGAGAAAACCACCGTATATGTGGTTTTCACTAGGTCACACTAAGTGTGTGATCTAAATAGTTATGTACAATTGATTCTCACTGTTGTCTAACTTTTTATGAAACATTTTAGACTTGCCGTGAAGCTGAATCTGCTGTCTTTCATGAAAAATTCTGGATAGATCTTAAAACAGCTCGAGAAATAAGGGGACTGTCACCAATGGACCCAGGGTACTTTGCATGTCTAGCTGCTGTTGAAGCTTCGGGTACATCGAATGCATCTGCCATTTTTGTCATTACTACTTCTGGACGGTAAGTGTATAACAACTAGGGATTGTGGTGCATATTTTTTTCGGCGTATAGCCCCGATCTAATCAAAATTATTTTGTGTTTGCAAATATTACATATTTTGAAACCTTCTGATCACTGACAAAATGATTTTTTAAAAGATCTATTTATAGATATGTGTCTGTCCTCTTCGACCTAGGTTTTTCAATAAACAGACGTTTCTATAACAGTTTGGATATCACTTTAAATGAAGATGTATTGTGGAAATTTACTGTAAACCAACTTAAGAATTGTTTTCTATATGAAATTGTAACCCCGAAAGCATTGGCACTACCACAGCTTCTCTACCACTGTTCAACTCCGCATAGGAGTGAGTCTTGCATATTCCAAATATGTACGCTTGAACTGTAACATAAAGCCGACGAGAAGTGCTCTACCTGTAGTCATCACGTTATCCTGCTAGTAGTGTTTCAGAAAGTAATTACATCATATGCAAAAACTAAAGAGAAACCAACCAAGTTGTCAGTACACAACAGTTTTCTGACACTCTTTCATAAAGTTTCAAACTGAATTTTATACACAAAAACATTGGGACTTATATAAACTGTTTCTCAGTTTCGGAGTATTAAAAAAAGTGACGAAATATCAGTAAGAAAATTGTTTTGTTTTTTGTTTATTGTTCAATACATACCTCTGCGTAATAGAGATACATTTTGCCCAATTCCCGTATTATTTGAAAATCACTAGACTTTAACCTACATTAAACATATAGGTATTCGGAATAAAGTTGGAAAATCTGAAGAAGTTAATTGATATCCTGTGTTCACTTGGCGATTACCACTGATTTATGACAACAAATAACTTGCCTTGAGGTATCCTTGTAACCATCAAGGGTTTAGTTTTAATTCGCTACAATATATGTATCCCTTTTTGATGAGCAACCGTATATCTTAAAATATGATAAGTTTGCTTTTGTGATATTCTAACTTTGAAAAGTTGGACTTAAAATGTACCTATTGTAGATCCTAAGTTAGAAGACTATTGGCATTCTCATTTAACCTAACCCGATACGTGTTTATATACTATGCTATAAGTCAATCCTTTTGCGTCAGAAATTATGATACCTAGCGATGATACAGTTTGACTTACGTCCAGTGGTGTTCGGACCCAGGATTTATTATTCGATAGTGGAATGCTTACACCAACTGGCCACATTTCCATAAAGAACCCCAAGAAAAAAGTGAACTATGATGACTGCTGAAGTGAATACTATTCTAACTGGAAATTGGTTAGAGACTAGGATTCTCAGACAAACCAATCACAGTAAAGAATGAAGTTAAACTTGATTAATTATATCTAATTAATGCTATAATTAGGTGATTACATGCAAAGGTATAAACATCCTTATTTTCCTATCACACCTAATAAGTTATAAAACAAAAATATCCTACTACAAAGAGAGATCATTTGAGCCTATAGTAAGAGTTGTTTAACTTTGAAGCTACGTGACGTGAGCTCTATGAAATGACGTCAAATACTTAAAACCCTGTTAACGACTGATAGTATCAGTAGCTAACATCCTTGAGAAGTATGCTAGTGAGTGAGCAAGTAAGAGGGGTCGGTATTCATTTATCAACGGTCAGCTTTCGGTGTGACATGGGTATCCTAATTTGTTTACTTATCTAAGAATCTAGCACAATCGTCTAATTCAAGCATTTTGATGTTATCTGGTCGGTGGTTCGAATCAGAGCAATTATATCACCCACTAGGATGCAGATACATCCATCTGCCAACGGAAATGGATGAAAATATAAATTCAAACAGCTCCTGCTGTGATATGTACAAGGAAATGGATGAATTCAATGCATTACAGTAAAATAATAACAGGATCCAGAGTAATTCCGTGTCTGTTGAACGTTTTCCGCTGTACATCAGAGCAACAAAAAACCCGATAGGAAGTTAGGAAAAATTATTAGAAAAGTGTTGATATCAACAATAATGGAACAGCTAGACAAGTAGACAAATAAGAGGAACCACTAGGTCACTTTTACAAGTAGTTGATTGTCTCCCCACCTTTTATGGTTGGTCTCCCTGTCTATCTTTTTTTCCAAAAAAAATGTTTCTAAACTTGACATGGGTAACACAGTAGCCCTACCAAATACGATAAATCCTATGAATACATTCCTAATAAAATTCTACATGTACTACTGAAAATTCCTTTATCCCCTATGAACCACTCTTTCCTCATTCAACAAGCTGACGTTTTGTTTCACCAAGGTGCCCTGTTCTTTTTCGTTAAAGTCTTCAGAAGGTATTCGTTGTCGTGATTATGATTGACAAATCGCATATCAAGTTAAATTACTGACTGACTGACAAAATCAACGTAGAGTCTCTCACAGAAGTGCAGCGTCTCAGGTTGCCACACTTCACAGAAGTACAAAAAGAACGATGGATAGAAAAAGAGTGATATCACAGTAGACAAAGTTGTATGAGAGAATAAACAGTCTGATGATAACAGTTAGTGTGAATATTCAGGCTTAAGAAGATGTCAAGGAATGGATATGTGTTCGGCATTGTGTACGATTTTCAGCCATATCAGTAAAAGTCCTCAGTCACTGATCCCTTTCGTCTCGGGAAACCCAGTCCGGCAGTCTGCATCTCTCCACGTGGCTCAAACCAGCGGTCAGGGACTTCATCGACTAGTGCCACGTCTTAGTCCGGCCACTCTGAACACTTCCAACCTAATCCAACTTCCCCTAGTATGGCACATCGAGGTAGATGGTGGTTCGGCATGAACAGTGTATGTCCAAGCCATCTCAGTCGATTTAGGTTCACAACCTCATCAATCGACTTGCATGTCTTGCTTAGTATCCTTTGACTGACCTCAGCATTGCTCACACGGTGATTCCACCACACGCGAGCAATACTACAAAGACACTTATGACCAAAACCCTGCAACCGCTTCATGTTTTCTACTTTTAACGGCCATGCCTCACAGCCGTACAACAGGACAGAACGGACTGCAGCACAGTATACTCGTCCTTTGATAGAATGCTAGATATCTCGCCGATGCCACAGGTGACGTCAGTTGGCAAATGCCAAACGGGCCTTCTGTATCCGACCTGAGATTTCGTCAGTAACAAAGCCCTTTGGGCTGATGCAACTCCCCAAGTTAGTGAAGTGGTCGACATATTCCACCACTTGACTCACTCCATATCATTAGTCTGGGAGTACCTGAAGCAGACTAGTTCTGGAGCATTACCTGACATTTAAGAGGTGCCAACGAAACGCAAGCCAAACATACTCAGATTTCTGCTGAACATGTTCGGAAGACCCTGGATTTTGTCGGCGTCTTCCCCTAGCAGGACAATATCCTCTACATACTCCAAGTCAACTAGATGACCTCCAAGGAGTAGGTCAATCCCTGTGAAGTCAGAAATACATAGGGTTGTGTCCACTAGTACATGTATGACAAAGTTAAATTACAATGAACCACAGTCTAATTGTTCATAGCTTTACTATGACAATAACAAGGAGACTTTCTATTTTATTACTTTATGAATCATGTGTTTCTCGCATTTTTAGTTCTGCTTGGGCAATAGCTTCATTTCGCCCTTCTTGTCCAGTTATTGCAATTATGAGACGACCTGAAATAGCAAGAAGGTGTCATTCTATTCGTGGTATTCACCCCTTCGTTTTTACAGGTAACTTTCGGGGATTGAGTTTTGTTTTATATTTTAAACTATACTATTGCGTTTTACAAACTAAAGAATAAGTTTGTAGACATAGCAGATGTGTTGATTTGCAAACATCACTGTACTCAAGTTAACGAATACTTGTTTGACTACAATCTTGTCATTCCCAAATACACTTAATTGGATCTTATCATTACCTTGGAGGTACTGCCCTTAAAGGTGAGTTTACTGGGGATAGTTGCCAAGTATAGAGGTTTTGTGATCATTTTCAGTATTGACACACCAAGTTTCAAAGTATAGCAGATAAAGTCGCATCACAGTTTATCAAAACTGAAACTTTCACAGTCATATTATTGTCATTAAGTTACCAACAGTATTCATTAGGAGGTATACTCGATTTACGTGAAGGTAATCATGTATTTCACAGAAGGATTGTTAAATATGCAAATTATTTTATCTATCAAGTGGATATCTGGTTACTTTAGTAAAAATACCTTTAAAATGAATTTTTGATCATCTGTTGCTTATCGCTTAATATGACCTGACATTTCTTATTTCATAGGCGAAAAATTACCTGATTGGTCTAAAGATATGGATCAACGATTGAATGCAGCATTACAATTCGCTAAGACCCGTGGATTTGTCGGTGATGGTGACCAAATCATTGTGGTTACTGGACAGGAAGCTGGCAGTGGTTCTACCAATACTGTACGCATTTTTGAAGTCCCATCCAATAACTGTTCTTTGTTTATGGTTAGATCACAACCTTCACTCACCGCTGAAGACTATGCGAACTGAAAACTATTTAAACAGACACTTTATCAACACTTTGCATTATCACTTACATAGTATGTCAACTTCAAGGGGCTTGTTTCCTTTATCTCTTTGGTTGACTTTAACTTCTTTTCCTGTTTTTACTGTCTTCATATCCAAATTCGTAAATAAATTTTAAATTGTTTAGTAAACGACTGTAAAAGTTCTATCTTCGGTTAGTTTCAGAAGAGGAGAAAGAAATTAAGGTTTTAAGTTGAACTAAAGGCCAAACCATGAATATAAATTTGAGTGAGGTATACAACTCACTATTACTTAAACCAATGTTTTGTTTGCTAAACTTTCTACTTCCAAACTGAGGAGAAAGTACACACTAAACTAAAGTATCTATCTCAAACTTGAGATTTTCATGCTATGCCTTTTGCTGCATAGAGTAGTAATGCTACTGGTTAAGGGAACTGAATGATCCAACATTCTCATTTTAAATCTCTGTATTTGTTGGTTCATAAATTTCGCTTTCATCGGTGTTTTAATACCTGCCTCAAACAGCATGTGTGTTTGAATACCATCCATATGGTTCTGTGGATGCTGGTGGTCAACCCAGTGATGTAAACACAGCCGAATCTTTATAAATCCACCTCTGACGAATTCGACCGTATACTAGTAACATGATATTTTAGGTCACTAATCTGGTTGCTTAACCCGTTGTAGATAACATCTCCTGTTGTTTGGTGTTATATTCCGCTGTTTTGTGACGCTCAAATCAGTATGTAATTGTGACGTGGTAGCTCTCTCACACTGCATATTGTAGTTCAATTTTATATAACAAAGCATGCACATGAAAAGTATTTTTCGAATAATTGCGACAGAAGTGAAAAACAAAGCTTTCTATTCCTTATATTTTTGGGTTGAAATTTGCGTTTGGTTTATCAACATTTGATCAAAGTTATATATATATATATATATATATATATATATATATATATATATATATATATCCTCAAAACTTACTGAGTATCTACTTTCTAGTCTTATAAGCTGTAAAAGATTGAAATCATTGATAATCATGTCTACATCCACATTGTTATGCAAATGTGAAACGCGAGCATCCTCTGTATAGTTTTATCTGACAGTGGATGCCCATTTAATCGACGAGTTTTATTGAATTCATCTTTTATAGGAAGATACTTTAAACTGCAGTCGTGAAAAGCTAACTGTAAGATTTATAATGTACGCACTCCACGTACATGTTTTGCCATATAACTTGAGTTATAGTAAATAGCGTTAGGTTAGCTTCAAAAGACAAACATATCCCTTATCCATACTAACTGGTACAATTAAGATAATTTCTACAGAGTGGTAAATATTTATAGCTCAAATGGAGGCTGTTCTGACAATCTCGATGTTCTCTAAGCTTTAGTGTACTTCGTGTAGGTCCGCTGAAGATGATACGAAAACCGTCGTTGACTGACAGATAAATCAGTACCAAACGTACCACAGATATGCATGCTTTCAAGCTACCATACTTCACTGACGTTGAAACCTTTGTGTAAACTGAGAAAGCAGAAAACTAAGAAGAAAGACATCTGATCGTATCACAGCAAGAAAGAACGCGTTTATACAAGTAACAGATCGCTAATGATTGGTAGGAAACCTCTATGTTATCAAGCCAAGCATATTTTCAGAATTTCTAATTTATTCTAAAAATGAGACAACTTGCTGTAAACCAACCATTTAACTCTGAGTAAAGCGTCTCGAAAGGGGATCAACTACATAGTATGACTTTCTGATTGAAGTAAGCTATTGGAAACCATATGAATCGGTAGTACCAACGTTCACGTTTATCAAAACCCTGCCGGGTTTTGTAATCACCAGTTAATCAAGTACTTACTTTATAAAAGTGAGTCTGGCCTAAACTGTGTGAGCTTATATATGATGAACAGAAACTGAGACAATGGCAGCCAAAGTCATAATATTGCCATCGTACAAACTTCCACTTTCAGTAATTCGCTTATACGTCTTTCTATAGTTTGATTGCGGTTTAAATATTTCCAGTTCATTTGTCATTTATAGTAACCAGTACAAATAGGTTTTTATTCAGGTTGCTAAACTAATCTCAAGGGTGAGGTGTAATAAAAGTTATTTGAAAAAATCAGGGAGACCGAAATGATATTCACAAAACAAAGTGTTAATGTATGAGGTTAAAAAAGGGACCGACAATGTGTAATGTGGATAAAATATCTATGAAATTTGGATCATTCAGAAAGGAGGTTGAACAAGCTTGTTTTCTACATATACACTAGGTATCTCCCACTGCACTGCCAAGTTATATACAATGAAAGTAGTTGAAATCTTGTAATATAGGTGACAACCAAATGGAATAATGTCCTTGTATCTATTTAGTAAGAATCCACACTAAAACACATGGACTTACATAAGTAGGCCATTTGTCAAGTGTGTCAACTCATCTTCAGGTTGTCAGAAAATTGTGAATGGTTTTCGAACATCGATTTTAGGTGCATTTTTCCAGTTGTCTGCAAAAAAGACTGGTAGTGATCATTTGTTAGGTCAGTTATCGTTCATTATCTCCATACCAGTATGAACTTACATACTTCAAGCGACTTATGCGTCAGCATGTGTTAGCAAGTCCTGTTTCTCAGCAGGGATTACTGTCAACTAAATTTCCGGCAAAATTAAAACCTGCCCAGCAATATGTGAAGGACTGGCCGGCATAAAGCCAGGAGAAGTTCCATCAACTTTAACGGCTACATATAGCAGTATGACTGACAAGGTGTGTATAGGCATTATTTATTATACCTTGACCAAATTTACATTTATGAAGAGATACAATAATCTAGAACATCGTCCAACAACGCATGAGTTCAAGTTACCGCACTTCACAGTAGCAGAGAATTATTAAATCATGCTAATACCAGGCAAAGAATGACAGATGATGGTTTCAGCGAAGCAAGGTCTCAAAGACTTTAATTATGTGACAACCTGGCAATCTACTCGATTAATATTTCATGGATTTTAAACTTATTACTGTATTTTTACCATTCAGGTGGCATATTCACCTACAGTAAGTATGTTAATCAACCATGAACACCTGAATAACTTCTTTAACGACAGTTTAGTAAATTTTAAACTAAGGCTGGAAAATTTCAGTGGATAGAACATTACGCTGTCGAAAATGAACATACCTAGAAGGTTCTAGTATGAGCATTATATGCTTTATGGTCCCTTGCCTATGTAAAACAAATACACTATTGAGGTAGTATTCATCATGGACTGACATTAGTTGCAGAACCATTGAAAACTTGGGAAGACTGAACAGCTACTTTGTCCTAGTAAGGGACTCCTCAGCAGTAGACTCCGATGACCCGGCTACAGATTGAACTCAAAACCTTCAGGTCTCATGACGAACGCGTTAACCAATTTATGTCAGTCTGTGATGAATAGTACCTCTTAAATAAAATCTCCATTCATCTCAAAATACATAGCTGTATAGTGCTCATTAGTGACATGCTTCCAGACAGATATCCCGAAGTTCTGATGAGAAGCCGTGACCTATGAGGTAAACCAATCGGAAGGGAAACGGATTCCATGTGACGACTTTGGGTGGTGGTCACGTCATATCATGAATTAAGAGAAGTTGGAAACTGTGAACCGTTAAACTCCGGTCCAGTGACTAAATGGTTAACGTATTCGCCGTGAAACCTGAAGGTTCTGAGTTCAATCTGCAGTCGGATCGTCGATGTCTAATGTTAAGAAGCCCCATACTAAGACGAAAAACCGTCCAGTGCTCCCGGGTTTTCAATGGTTCTTCAACTGATATCAGTTCGTGATGAGTACTACCTCAAAATTAAAATCCACAGTTATCTCAAGAGGAAATACATTATTCTCAAAATATCAAAAATTAAATGTTGAGAGTACTACATTCACTAGAAAAAGTAACGCATTCTTCGTCCTCTTCTTCAAGACAGATAAATAGATCTAACCAATGATTTAAAATATGACTGAAACAATCAGGCACTCTCAGAAAATTATATGGGACATCTAAATTTAAAGTGTGATCGTATTAGGTTCACTGATACATCTAATTCTTGCATATGCCATCGGTTCATAACAGTAGCTATCCAATAAACTAGTCAGATTGTAAACAGAGCTTTGGCAGAAGCCAACTATTAGTAGAAAATCGCATTACATAATTACTTGGTTTCATGAAGTTACCGGTTTAACCTACAGGTAAATAACAAGTAAAATGGTAGGAACATATTGAAATTATCATAAATAATGTCTATTTTTTTTACATTAGTTTATATTTCGCTAAACTTCAGAAATGCAGAAGAAAAAACAACTAGAGGCAGCTATAGTTATTCAGTCGTTCAGCGAAACTATAGCACATCTAACTACCATAATACTAGACTAATTGACTGTGGCTTTCGAAATCGTCTATCAAATTCACACTGAATAGCATAAGTGGAACTGCTAATCCTAAACGAACTTTGATAACAGTTACCAAAACAAAATTAACTATTTGCTTACAATGAAACAACTTACCATAACTCAGAAACTACGGAACGAATGATGAACACTAAAGTAGAAGAGATAATGATTATTTCTCCATGTCTACCTGAACAGATACAGTATGCTGGGACCAGTACGCATTAAGTGATTATACTGGTGAGATGAAATATAATTATAAACAAAATATGTGCTATATATATATATACAGAGGGTATAGGTATCATTCCATGCGTGAGCAAACACCTGGCAAAGGTTATCGAAGGTCACTAAATAACCAGTATGTCAAAGCCGTAATTTCTGTTAATGTTAATAAACTAAACTATGAACAAGCTGTTACTTTCATGAAATAAATAAATATTAAAATATAAACGAAAATATGTGAGTCATCAAAAAGTGTGAAGAGATTCAAATTTATCAAAACAACTTCAGAAAGATAATATGAACGTCATCTTCAAAGAGTGACAGGGTTTCATAGTTCGGTAGTTTAACTTTAAAAGTTTTCGGTAGTTATTATCATTCCTCTTCACAAGCAGTTTAAAAAAAATAGGGATATGGTTCTGTCATGGAGAATGGGCTTAAAAATAAACTCAAATTATCTACAATCAACACAGCAGCTTAGATAAACAAACATAGTGACCACTGGAAGATGTAAGGTAATAAATGT